CAGCAGCTTCAACCTTGAGATAACCAAAACATGCAGTGGAAAAGTATACTGGCTTATATGTTAGAATGATGAGTTAGAACTTTAGCCACAGTTGCTTCCAAGTGTCATGAAATACCTAAAAACCGACGTCCATAAATGTTGATAAATGTCCATAGATGTGTCCTGGATCATCACTACTGTCCTTTGACTTAGACCCAGACAAGGTTCAAACACACCCTCCTGCATCGGCAAAGAATTCTAAAAACCCAGTGGTCTAAAGAGAAGTCAGGTCATGTCATTTCCTTCCTCTTTATTAGTCCATTTCTGGGTCGGGGGTGGGGGGTGGTAATCAGAGCTGCCACCCAAGTCTCAAAGCACCAGTCGCTGATCCTCCTGCAGGTGGTGGGTCCGCAGGATGAGGGCTTCTTGGTCTTTCAGCAGGGGTAAAGCGGGGTTAAGTGTCTTGCCCAGGGACACAACGACAGCAGACATCAGTGGGAGCAGGTGACATGGTCTTTTTATGTAGAAAGTCCGCTGCTGTTAAAGAAACCAGCTGTAGCCATCACTGGACGAGCCTGGACCCCACTACACTTATGTTATTTAAAGTATTGAAGAAAATGAGGCGGGGGTCTCCGTGGGGCGTGTCACAGACAGAACAGACAGGTTTTATTGTCGATGGTACAGACGAGACATGAAGATTTTACAGAAAGCATGTGATGTTGTAGATTGGACCAAGTGTCTCCGACCTTTTTCACCCAGACAGCTTCTCTTTTGAGTGGTACTTGAAAAATTATGTGAAATTATTGGTGGGACCTTCTCCAACTGCTCCCACAAATGACTACTGTCGCTGTGTCCTTGGGCAAGACACTAAACCCCACGTTGCCTGAAGCCCCCGCTGAAAGATCGAGGCTGTGTCACCGCCAGTGGCCAAAATGACGTGCGCTGACATGCTTGCAATACCACCCCGGGCCAATGGGGGTGGACCCGGAATAAGATTGCAATGCGGTTGAGCTCTTCTCGACCGTAACCTTGACAACCTTAAAATATCAAAAGACATTTCATCATGTCTTAAATACAGACCAACAATAAACAGGATTTATTCAATATCAATTAAACATCCTTTTGTCGTCCCATATGGAGAAATGTCAGTGTTGCATCGCAAGTTACAGATCAGTAGGAATGAGGAGCACACAGCACAAAATAAAGAATAACTACATGCCGATATAAAAGAAAATCTCCAACTTTAGCAAAAAGAATAAAATCTTGGGGCGACAGTGGCTCAGTTGGTAGAAGATTGGTCTCTGAACCTAATGGTCATGGGTTTGATCCAGTGTGGGCGGGTTTTGGCTCAAAAGTGACCAAAATGACGTGCGCTGACATGCTTGCAGTACCACCCCGGGCCGATGGGGGTGGACCCAGAAGTAGAATTAGCCAATGCTAACATATAGCATTGGCAGACCTCTCGAAAACGTCTTTACAGGATGGTCCAAAAGTTGGCTCTTGGCCCAAAGCTCCGTTCCACATGTGTGTCAATGCTGAGGGGAGTGAATTTTTTTGGTCCACTCTAGTTTACTTGCTGTGAATTTTTTAAGTCTCTCGTTCAAATGAATGGAGCTGCGCCGGCTGACGCATGCGCAGATACGTTTTTTCACAATTTTGGCCATTTAGGATAGCTCCAGTAGAGCACTATTTTTGGCCCATTAGTTAGAATGGCGGAGATAGGCGTGACTCTGTCCGTTAATATATACAGACTAGGGTTTGATCCCACCACGGCCCATGTCACCTGCTCTCACTGATGTCTGCTGTCGTGTCCCTGGGCAAGACACTTAACCCCATTTTGCCTGAAGAGGGACTGGTTCTCTGTGACTTGGGTGGCAGCTCTGATTGCCACAACCCCTGACCCTTTAGTTAAGATGTCATAGAAGTCATAGTCAAAACTGTTGCTGTTTTATTCACCGACCACAAACTAACGACCATCTTTCTATTTTGAAAAAGGAGGGACTCATTTGTCAAGATCGTCCTGCCATGTGCCCAGTTAATGGCCCGGCGACAGAGAGATGTGATACACGTCTTGGGGACTCAATCACCATCCATAAGCGCTCTCTGGGACAGCCCACTCCTTGGCACGGCATGGCACGGGATGGCACGCTGTCGCACTCTGCCCCAGAACAGCTCAATTAACCACCTGGCCATCGGAGCAGCCTCCCATTCAGCCGCCAGAAGAGGTGCAATACATCAGGCTGATGGGACGCCCTGGCAGCGCTCTTAATGCACTACGGCAACACCTCTCTTTTTCTATTTAGTTTTCCACTGGCAAAAAAAATTCCTTGAAAAAAATGAGGAAAATAAGTAAAATACTGCTTAAAATAAGAAAAATGATCTGACAATAGAACAATAAATTATGACTGGACAAGATTTCTGAATATAAGTCAATCATTCCAGCCCCAAACGACTTGAATCTAGTAAAAAAAAAACATAAATTTCAAGTGACATTTACACATTTTTTGATCATTTTTGTCTGAAAATATAGCATAACATACTTATTTTATCTAAACAACAAGATAAGAATAAAAATACTTAAAACAAGCTTAAAAAACTCACTGCTCTGGCTTATTTTTTCTCTCACAAGATTATGAAGAATAAAATCGTAAAACTAGTAAAATAATCAAACATGACACACTACATTCAAGCAACAAAAAAAAAAACCTGCCATTGAAGAAACAAGCCTCATTATCGTCATTTTTTCTGATTTTTTTACATTTTCAGTGCACACATCCCTCTACTCAGACTGGTACAGAAAAATGAGATCATCTCTTTGTCCACCGCCTTCGTTTTAACCTAAATCCCATGACGCACAAAGAGCCGCTTCTGTGTTGCCAGGTTCATTCACGGTTGTGTTGCAGAGCAGTTTGACGCGGCTGTAGCGCTGTGTATCGGACGCCTGTGTAAAAAGAGGTGTCTATATGCTAACAAAGTTGGAGCAGGCGTGTGAGGGGACACTTCTATTTTGGTGCAGGCAGATATAGGACGTGTGTAAATGCCAGCAAGAGGCCAAACCAGGGCAGAGTGTGTGTCTGAGGGCCTCGCACACACACACACACACACACAGACACACACACAAGCCCTCGTGCACGTTGTGGCGAGACACACACAGTTCTCACGTTTCTGTGGGTGATGGGCCTTTTTCAAGCTTTCGTTGAGTGAAAGAGAGAACGAGAGGTGTGAAGCTCCAGTCACGCAATGCCACTCTTTTTTGGGCGGAGTGTGTTTTGGAGCCGTGACGAAGAGACGCACTGAAGGTTACTATCAAGCATGTGACAGGAAGTGGCAGTTCACGGCTCAGTCTCGTAATCTGATAAAAATACATCCATCTTCCAAAGTCATTGATGGTCATGAGTGTAATCAATAATATGATTTAGATTCATGTATTACAGTTATGTTGTTTGCATCAATAATATGACTGTGATTCTCCTGAGATTCAGAGTGTAATGCTCAGGGGCATTGCAGTTTGGGGAACTTGTTGTGGTAACAGATACATGTGTGGTTTCACAGAAGGGAAGTGAAAGCTGTGGGCTGCAGCTGTTCATGTCTAGAAGGCCTTATCGCCAACACTCACAGAAAGGAAGTCAAAAGCACACATTTCCCATGTGCCACATGCGCCAAAGCCTGAAAAAGTGCTTTTCAGATTTTGAATTTCATGATGTTTTATAACCACAACGTTTGGGGTTCTTTACCTGAGGCTCCAGAAGCAAAGGTTGATTAGAATTCACTGCCTCAGTCTGAAAGAGACAGTGTTTCATACTGACAAGATTTCATTCAAAATACTACAGTAACATTACCTTACAAGTTACATTCTATATGAGGTGTTAAATTCTGATTATTATGTGAGCTAAACTAAGCTAAGCTAAGCTAAGCTAAGATAAGATAAGCTGAGCTGAGCTTCATCTTCCAATGAAAAGGAAAAGCTCAGATTGAAAGACAAACAAAGCTAGTTTTCCTGCAGCAGATGCTGGAGTTGGACACGGTCTGAATATAAACTGCTCTGTTCAAACAAACGCTGCTCCTGCTGCTTGTAATCTGAGGCTGCAGCTACAGAGCCACAGGCACTCAACAGGGACTCAACAGGGACTCAACAGGGACTCAACAGGGACTCAACAGGGACTCAACAGTGACTCAACAGTGACTCCAACAGGGACTCAACAGGGACTCAACAGTGACTCAACAGTGACTCCAACAGGGACTCAACAGTGACTCCAACAGTGACTCCAACAGGGACTCAACAGGGACTCAACAGTGACTCCAACAGGGACTCAACAGGGACTCAACAGTGACTCCAACAGGGACTCAACAGGGACTCAACAGTGACTCAACAGTGACTCCAACAGTGACTCAACAGTGACTCCAACAGGGACTCAACAGTGACTCCAACAGTGACTCCAACAGGGACTCAACAGGGACTCCAACAGGGACTCAACAGGGACTCAACAGTGACTCCAACAGGGACTCAACAGTGACTCCAACAGGGACTCAACAGTGACTCCAACAGTGACTCCAACAGGGACTCAACAGGGACTCAACAGGGACTCAACAGTGACTCCAACAGGGACTCAACAGGGACTCAACAGTGACTCCAACAGGGACTCAACAGTGACTCCAGCAGTGACTCCAACAGGGACTCAACAGTGACTCCAACAGTGACTCCAACAGGGACTCAACAGTGACTCCAACAGGGACTCAACAGTGACTCAACAGTGACTCCAACAGGGACTCAACAGGGACTCAACAGTGACTCCAACAGGGACTCAACAGTGACTCCAACAGGGACTCAACAGTGACTCAACAGTGACTCCAACAGGGACTCCAACAGGGACTCAACAGTGACTCCAACAGGGACTCAACAGTGACTCCAACAGGGACTCAACAGTGACTCAACAGTGACTCCAACAGGGACTCAACAGGGACAGCAGGTAAACAGCAGGGCTTGAGCGCTTGTGCAGCCGTTGGGTTTGAGCGTACACATGATGGCGTCTTTAGGTGGGCTGATGGAGGACTGCGGTGGTTCTGTGGTCTCACTGAGGTGTGTAGAACATGAAAAAGTCGTCAGACACGCTCATATTTTTCAGATCACTGTGGAGCAGTTGAGAAAAGTGGAGGTGAAAGTTGATTTTGGCCCGGTCCCAAACCCCCACAATCCTCCTCCCCTGTGTTCCTCCTCCATCTCCCAGACTCCAGCTCTAAGCCCTGAGCTCCAGTATGAAATCAACATTGGGCCTGCAGGAAATGAGAGATCTCCACAGGAGATAGAGGGGGCGGAGCCAGGGGAAGACTGAGGGAAAACAGCTCATGGCCACCTCCTCTCTGTGTCTGTCTCTGTGTCTGTCTCTGTGTAGTCTCTGTGTCTGTCTCTGTGTAGTCTCTGTGTCTGTCTCTGTGTCTGTCTCTGTGTCTGTCTCTGTGTCTGTCTCTGTGTAGTCTCTGTGTCTGTCTCTGTGTCTGTCTCTGTGTCTGTCTCTGTGTCTGTCTCTGTGTAGTCTCTGTGTCTGTCTCTGTGTAGTCTCTGTGTCTGTCTCTGTGTCTGTCTCTGTGTCTGTCTCTGTGTCTGTCTCTGTGTCTGTCTCTGTGTAGTCTCTGTGTCTGTCTCTGTGTCGTCTCTGTGTCTGTCTCTGTGTCTGTCTCTGTGTAGTCTCTGTGTCTGTCTCTGTGTAGTCTCTGTGTCTGTCTCTGTGTCTGTCTCTGTGTCTGTCTCTGTGTTGTCTCTGTGTCTGTCTCTGTGTCTGTCTCTGTGTCTGTCTCTGTGTTGTCTCTGTGTCGTCTCTGTGTCTGTCTCTGTGTCTGTCTCTGTGTAGTCTCTGTGTCTGTCTCTGTGTCTGTCTCTGTGTCTGTCTCTGTGTCTGTCTCTGTGTTGTCTCTGTGTCTGTCTCTGTGTCTGTCTCTGTGTCTCTGTGTCTGTGTCTGTCTCTGTGTCTCTGTGTCTGTCTCTGTGTCTGTCTCTGTGTAGTCTCTGTGTCTGTCTCTGTGTAGTCTCTGTGTAGTCTCTGTGTCTGTCTCTGTGTCTGTCTCTGTGTAGTCTCTGTGTCTGTCTCTGTGTCTGTCTCTGTGTTGTCTCTGTGTCGTCTCTGTGTCTGTCTCTGTGTAGTCTCTGTGTCTGTCTCTGTGTCGTCTCTGTGTCTGTCTCTGTGTCTGTCTCTGTGTAGTCTCTGTGTCTGTCTCTGTGTCTGTCTCTGTGTCTGTCTCTGTGTTGTCTCTGTGTCTGTCTCTGTGTCTGTCTCTGTGTCTGTCTCTGTGTCTGTCTCTGTGTCTGTCTCTGTGTTGTCTCTGTGTCTGTCTCTGTGTCTGTCTCTGTGTCTGTCTCTGTGTCTGTCTCTGTGTCTGTCTCTGTGTCTGTCTCTGTGTTGGCCCTGCAGAGCAGCCTGTTCCTACAGAGCCAGCTCAGAGCAGACGCTTATGAACGGCTGGAGGCTTGTTGTTCTTTCCTGGCGCAGTAATACGCAGCTTAAGCCAAGAAAGTGGACAAACTGGGAGCTATTTCAGCAAGACCTTGTTTTTGTTGTTTCATGCTCAAAGACAACATGACCCCATGTGACCCACCTCAGCTCCTCATGACTGGAACACAGAAAACCAACAAGGCCTAAATCAAACATGTGCTGCCCAAAGGCCGGGCAGAGCCCATTGTATGTTTGCATTCTACTGTGTTCTAGAGCCGCAAACGCCGCCCGCAGCGAACATACACACACACTGCTAATGTTACACACTGCCATTCTCTCCCAATAATTATTCTGTTTCTCTGTAAACCCCTGTTCCTAAACGCTTAGACACATCTGATCAGTCCAATAACCGGAGAAAGGATGGGTTTGTAGAACTAAGAAGTGTCAAAGACTTTTCTATGACATGACTGTACATGGCTCCATCAGTATTACACATTTCTTTTGTGATTTTAAACTTTAGCTCTGTAGGTGCTTTAGGTAGTTTGGGGTCAGATCTTTTGTAAAATACTTACTGAGAAACCACCAACGAGCATCCATCTATAGAAACTGATATGTCACACACACATAAACGCTGCAAACGTCTAGAGTCTGTGGGCGAAGGAGATCAGCGACTCCGCACCAGTGTAGGGGGCAATGAGGGGGGGCAGTTAATGGCTTTTAAATTTCTACTGAGTGAGTGACTTACAACTGTGGAGGAGCACAGCTGTTCCTGGTTTGGGGTACAAAGAGGGGGAACGGCAGCGATCTGAGAGACCGGACCGAGCTGCTCTAATTTAATGGGCCAAAATCTCCCAGGAATGACACAATGGTGTGTATTAGCTCGTGTGTTTCCAGCGATGTCCGCAGCAGTGTGGGTCCATAACCATCTTTCACTTATGATTTTGCGTGTGTGCACAAAAGCAAATGTGCGTGGGAGGCTGGGATACAGCAACAGGATATGTCTGCAGCTCCAGCCATAGATTACGGCCGCAGAGCAAGCGAGAGCAGACTTACAACTCTAAAGAGCAGAGAGATGGGGAAGGTCAAGTCTATGGGGAACCAAACAGAGAGATGGGGAGAAGAGGGAGTCTTAGATGCTAGAGATTTAATGCAGAGAGAGGGAAAAGTAGATTAAGGCCAGAGCTCATCTAAGCATGTCGATAGGGTTGAAAAATCTCACATCAAGCCAGGTGGGGGGAAATTGCAATGTTGCTTTGATCATGGAGGTTTTTTCTATGGCAGGCAGACAAAAACAAGACCTGCTTGAAAAGGTTTATTGTCATCCATCCCTTGAAATATTGCTTCCTGCCCCCTTCACTTACACACTACACACCTCTGCTGCTCAGGCCTGAGTTTCCTGCCTTTGGGCAACACTGTCCTTGTTTCAGCTGTGGCCCAAACGGTTGCTCAGCTGTAGTCGCGTGGAGCATGGCAGGTCTGTGTCACATGACTGAGGTCTGTGTCACATGACTGAGGTCTGTGTCACATGACTGAGGTCTGTGTCACATGACTGAGGTCTGTGTCACATGACTGAGGTCTGTGTCACATGACTGAGGTCTGTGTCACATGACTGAGGTCAAAAAGTTCCAAAAAGTTCCATAATGACGTTCGCTGACATAAGTGCAATACCATGCGGGGGGATCCAGAAAGACAATTATTCAATGCTTTTGTATGGCGTCTTCTAAACACTCTAAAAAACGTGTTTACAGGACTCTGTACAGGAGACCTCTGGGAACACCAGCTGCCACAGTGGTGTGTGTGTGTGTGTGTGTGTGTGTGTGTGTGTGTGTGTGTGTGTGTGTGTGTGTGTGCGTGTGCGTGTGCGTGTGCGTGTGCGTGTGCGTGTGTGTGTGTGTGTGTGTGTGTGAAGGGTTGGTGGGAGGGAACGAAGGCATATGCTGGTGCTTCAGTCATGTGCCCCAGGGCAGATATGGCTACAGTAGTAGTTTATCACCACTGTGTATAGAGTGAATGAATGTGAGAAGCGTTTGAGAGTCCAAGCCAGCGCTGTATAAAACCAATGGATTATTATTATCATTATTCATTTTTGATTGATTAGTTGGCCGTTTAACAGAGACGACTTGTTAAACGTTGGCTTGTTTGATTAAAATACTTTGTCATAAAACCTCTTCTCGGTATGTCTAAGTCTAGGTGAGGTTCAAACAACAATGAATCCATTACTATAGAACTATTCCAATAATTAATTCATTGCAAATAAACATAAACAGCCTCGTGGTTACTAACCTGAGATGCCAGGTCATGGGGACTGAGCAGCAGAGCCTCCCCTCCATGGGTTCTTCCCCCTCCTGAGTGATCAGAGCTGACATACATATGGTTTACTGATCTTAGTAGCAGAGAAGTGGGGGAGGGGTGAGCATGCACATATGCACAGAACATGTATGAACGTATGAGTTAGTCAGACATTGCACATGGCGGCTGCAGCACGGGGCTCACAGCGTGTCTTCTGTACATTGTGTCCTTGCTTCACTTTTGCACTGAGCTTTTAAAGTGTCTCCCTGGAGGTGATGTCCCCAGAGGTCTCTCTCACAGCTCTGTCACGCTAATAGATTTTACTTTCCCTCATTTTCTCCCTCTGTCAACCTATTTCTCTTCTTGGATAGTTCACACCAGTCTATGGTCTGCACACGATGACAGAACCTCACACAAGACTGTTCACGTTCTCCAGGACCAGCCCTCGATGTATCAGGAACACACTCTTAAAAGGGAAAGAAAATGGCGCTTGTAGTCTCAAATAAGATCATACAAAACATCCATGGTTTTCAGGTCAGACAGACGGTCAGGAGGGTCCGTGGACTGCAGGGTCAAGGCGGCCGAGCTCATGAGTTTAATATTACTGTACCAGCTAAAGTAAGAAATAAACACTGCTGGTACAAACAGGACAGAGGTACCATTAATATCCAGATAAAAGGGATTTCATACATACTGCAAATGACCAGAATCCAGAGGTTCAGCTATCACGCTATCTTTCTCTGTGGCTAGTTTATGTTATTCAGCCTTAAATCCTGCATCAAACCTTTTCCTGAATGTGTTCGTGAATCTAATCCTTGTCACGATGGTGTCCAAAGTGTGGTCCAGGGCCCAGATGTGGTCCACCAGTGGGTCTAATGGAGCCGCGAGGGGAAGGCAGAGCTGTAAAGAATAATTATTGCAAAAGATATAAAACGTAGGGGTTGATAGCTGTCGTACGTTTATATGTTAAATATGTTTTTGAAACTTTTAATCCTGTGGAGCTCAGTTGGTAGAGCACTGGTCTTTGAACCTAATGGTCGAGCCCACCACGACCCATGTCATCTGCTCCCTCTGATGTCTGCTGTCGTTGTGTCCTTGGGCAAGACACTTAACCCCACATTACCTGAAGCCCCCGCTGAAAGATCAAGGCCATCTCGTTGATAACGGAGAAGCCATCATTCTGTGGACCCCCCACCTGCTAAGAGACTTGGGTGTGGAAGCTCTGATGGAGGCCCCCCCCCGACCCAGAAATGGATTAATAAAGAGGTAGAAAATGACATGACAACCCAAACATGAAAATATTTGTTGAAAAAATGTATCTGTGCTATTTTTGGAAAGCAAAATTCAATGACCAAATGTGGCAGTGTAGCATTAGCTTGTTTGGGTTCTTGGTTCATACATTACTTGGAGCATTAAACCAAAGAGTCAGACCTTTGAACTTCATGTTGCATATTTGGAAACAAGGTTCGTACAGCCACGTTTCTTGCTGTTTTTGTCAATGAATCAAAGCAACAGGAACTTTCAGTAGATGGTGTGGCTCTATGATGATTTTTAAGTCAATACAAAGTTAAAAACATATGGTGCATTCTCCACGGACATATACCGCCACAGAGTCA